AAACCATTAAGCCAGTTTTCGTATTTCGAATTGAAGGTAGATGACAATAAGATTCAAAATTTAAAACCCGACTCAATGAACCTTGTTTTGTAATAAGGGGGTATGTGTTAACATTTATTTCATCGAGTAACATTAGTGTAGGAGATCAAGGAACTACCAGCTGAATGTTGCTTTATAAGCCAGCTCGCACCGCCGTTCGGGTTCACTTGCCTGTCAGCCGTCATCGCGATCGGAGCTCTCGGTGTTTTCGTTTTCTTTGTTACACTTTTGTTAAGATTTAAATAAAACCGTTAGGACTTATTTTTGTCTTTTTAAAAAAATACTCGTCCTTAAAATTCCCTAGATCAGAAGTGGGATAGGATCAACGTGGTTCTATCCTGCTGGCCATTCTGGTTGTGTGTTTTTAAGTGCGAGAAAAGTAAAAAGACAAAAATGTCTGACCGCGAATGTAGTGAACGCGAGCGTCATAGCAGCCTGTTTCGCCGTCTCATAGGCGCCGGGAATCGAATAGACGCGTGACGTCACCCGCGCCGGAGAGGCCTGTGTCACCAGCGCACTGTGCGGGACGTTCCACGACGCCACCGCTCCCGTCGCGACCGCCAAGTATTCCACATACGTATCAAGCGCCGTGTGCCGGATCGGAACATGTTATTAGTGAAGTTAACACCCCGTCCTCGGTAACAGATCGAATTGTGGATGCTATTCGTTCAATCAATACGGTAGTAAGACCAAGCCAACATTATTACATTTCAAACTTCGACCCTAGTTTGCATAACATTGACGATTGGTGTGAGGAGGTAGATCGCGCTAAATTGTTAAATAATTGGAGTGATTATGAATGCCTTTCACGCATTGGTAACTGCTTAAAAGGAGACGCCAAAACATGGCTTAGCGAATGGGTGACTAACGAGCGTAGTTGGAGCAATTTTAAGAAAGAATTTAAGCTCTTATGTCCAAAAACACCTAATATTGCCCATATTCTGTTTGAAGTAATGAATACCAACTCAGACAACTATGCTACATATGCCGACTATGCTCGTCGTTCACTCCTTCGTTTACGCATTGTACGGGGGCTCAGTGACGAACTAATATCAGCAATTGTGATACGTGGAATAACTGACCCCCAGATTAAAGCGTCCGCTACAAATGCTAAGCTGTTACCTAACGATCTTGTAGAATTCTTTTCAACATACGTAAAACCTAACACATCTAAAAACAGTGTTGCTCGTGGCGCATCTCAAAATTATGCCGGTATAAATAAAAATACTTCGTGTAATTTACCCTCGAGAAAACGACGTTTTGACGAAGCTAGGTGTTTTGTGTGCGGTCAATCAGGACATAAACAAGCTCAGTGTAATAAACGGTCTAAAGTCAATTCGGAGGAAGGTTCTTCCACGACTAGTACAAACAATGCGGTTTCTAAGCCTGTGTTTGTGCCAACTAAGTCTGATACGTGTTCATTTTGTAAGAAATCGGGTCATAAAATCGAGAATTGCTTTGCAAAACAGAAATCCGAGTCACGCAATAAAAACAATGTCAACTTTTGCCGCGAAACTCAAACTACCCGCAATAATGACGTTATTGTGGCCGTTATTCAGGGCGTGCCTATTGATGTTTTAATTGATAGTGGCTCAACAATTTCACTTATTTCCTCAAGTCTGTTAAAACATTTCGAGTGTGCGCGTAAGCCATCGTTTCGTATATTAAAGGGACTTGGAAGTCAGGAGATTGAAAGTACCTCTTATGTAACTTTACCAATCGAATTTGACGGCATAACTCTTGAAGTCGATATGTTCGTGGTTGCTTCCGAATACATGAATACACCGGTCATAGTGGGTACAGATGTCCTCAATAGAGAGGGCGTTCGTTACATTCGTACACGCGATTCTCAACTACTTAAGAGAGAAATTACGAAGTCGGACCAAGTGATGACTGTTCAGTCTGTTGTATCAATCCCTATCAACACACCTCTTGTTGGGGAGGAACATAAACAGTTGTTGGCGGTTATTAACGACTTTTCGCAGTTTTTTATATCCGGTACCGCCACATCTACGGTAAACACAGGGAGTATGGTCATCAGACTGAAGAGTGACACTCCTATTAATTATCGGCCGTATCGTCTCTCCCATGCTGAGACCCTTCGCGTTCGTGACATTATTAGGGACTTATTAGACAAGGGGGTCATTCGGGAATCGGAATCGGATTTCGCTAGTCCGATTCTTCTCGTCAAAAAGAAAGACGGATCTGACCGCATGTGCGTCGATTTCCGGAAGCTTAATGACATAACTGTTAAGGACCGTTTTCCGTTGCCGCGAATTGATGACCACATAGATCGTCTAGGACGAAACAAATATTTCACGAGTTTAGATATGGCCACGGGGTTTCACCAGATCCCTGTCCAGGAGGAGTCCATCCCTCTAACTGGATTTGTAACGCCCGAGGGGCATTATGAATATCTAAAAATGCCATATGGTCTTGCAAATGCCCCAGTTGTATATCAGCGGATCATAACGAAAACACTCCGGGAACACATAGAATCTGGTGAAATCCTTGTCTATATCGATGACGTCTTGATACTGAGTAGGACCATAGAGCAGGGACTAGTTCTATTGCGTAGGGTACTTACTACTTTGACTGACGCGGGCTTTTCAATCAATTTAAAGAAGTGCTCTTTTCTTTCACCCTCGATTGAGTATTTGGGTCGTAATATTAGTGAGGGCCAGGTACGGCCGAGCACGGAGAAAGTAAGAGCATTAACGAATACAGGCGAACCTAAAAATATCAAGCAGGTCCGTCAGTTCATGGGTCTTGCTGGCTATTTTCGGCGTTATATACCTGACTTCGCGCGAAAAACAGCCTGTATAGCGGCTTTAACACGTAAGGGTGTAGAATTTAAATGGGGACCCGAGCAGCAAGCAGCTCGCAAAGAAATTATCGAATGCTTGACCAGTGAGCCCGTACTTGCGGTATATGACCCTTCGTTGCCGATTGAGGTGCACACAGACGCAAGCTTTGTCGGTTACGGGGCCGTGCTTCTGCAGGTGCATCAGGGCGCTTATAAGCGAGTGGTTGCTTACTATAGTAAGCTAACACAGGGAGCTGAAAGTAAGTACCACTCGTACGAACTTGAGACCCTTGCGGTAGTCAAAGCCTTACAACATTTCAGGCACTACCTTGTGGGTGTACGCTTCACTGTAGTCACTGACTGCAATGCGTTGAAGCTTACGCAGCGCAAAAAGGATTTGCTTCCCAGAGTGGCTCGGTGGTGGGTATACCTGCAGGACTTTGATTTTAACTTGGACTATCGAAAGGGCTCACTTATGTCACATGCTGACTACCTTAGTCGGAATCCGGTCAATGTGTGCACGGTTCAGAAGCCACTAAACAGGGCGCAGGTTGCTCAGGCTTCTGATGAGGAAACTCGAACCCTTATTCAACGACTGAATGATGGTCAGATAGACGCAAGTCGATACATCGTTAAAAACGACACTCTCTACGTTAGGTATGCACCTACTGGTGAATCCACTCGACTCTTGTGTTATATTCCAAAGGGGCACAGGCTTAGTCTACTTCGCGTGTTTCACGATGAGCACGAACATCCTGGGGCAGAAAAGACGTTTGATTTAATTACGAAACATTTTTGGTTCCCTGGTTTGAGAAGTTTTGTCCAAAAATATGTAGCACACTGTTTAGTGTGCATCTCTCATAAAAAAGTTCCTCGAGCCCCGTTACAACCTATTCATTCCTGGGAAAAACCAGAAGTGCCCTTTGAAACTGTCCATATGGATGCTCTAGGACCACTCCCCGAGGCGGATGGCTATCGATACGTTCTCATAGTCATTGACGCCTTCTCTAAGTTCGCTTTACTTTATCCGATGTATCGGCAAGATTCCAATGAATTGAAGCGCAATGTTACCAATGTTTTTTCGCTCTGCGGAGCCCCTAAGATGATTGTCGCCGACAGAGGTCGTATGTTCCAAAGTACCGAATTTCTTGACTGGGTTAGGGATATGGGTTGTGAAGTTCATTTAATTACACCCGAGATGCACCAATCCAACGGCCAGGCTGAACGTTACTGCAGGACGGTGTTAAATATGATTCGCATTGAAGCAAATCATCGGCAGCAGAAATAGCCTAGCGTTATCTGGAAGATTCAACTCGTATTGAACATCACGCGGCACAGAACAACGCAGTACTCTGCCCTGAACCTGCTTGTTGGCATAGAAGCGGCGACGCCTCTCATCCGAAGTTTGGTGCGCGACGTGGCGCTAGAAGGCTCCAGTCCAAACCGGGAGGCTTTACGTGAAATGGGCCGTCAAAGAGCATCGGAACGGCTCAAGCAAAACCAGCAAAGCCAGGATGATTATGTAAACCAAGGCAGACAGGCGCCCCGTGGTTTCGAAATTAATTCCTTAGTTTTTGTTAAAAAGCAGGCGCAATCAACGGGGAAGCTGGACTCCGGTATGCGAGGCCCGTACCGCGTGATGAAGATTCTCCCGCATGGGCGCTATGAGCTGCAACTCCTGGCCGGCTCCTATGGGAAGTCGACGCAAGCGGCAGCGGAGTTTATGATCCCGTGGCGTGGAGAGTGGACACCTGAAGTATGTGCTGCTTACTTCGATGGTGAGTTGCTTGGCTACCCCAAGGCAGGTTGCAAAGTGTCCTTGGGTATGTCGTCAGAAATAGCTAACGTAGTGCTTCCTTTCTGTGTATACAATTGTTGGGAGAAAGCTAACGCCACGCTTCCTTTCCTAACAATTGTGGGGCGAACATGCAAACGTCGGGCCTCTGTCTCGCCGGGCTAAGTTATGCTAACGTCGTGCCTATGCCTTACGCCCTGATTAAGTTATGCTAACGTAGCGCCTATGGCTTAATCCATGCTTGTGACGCTTCGCATCTTGTTTATATGATGGACGCGTCATATTTATGAGATGTTAAGTTTCGCACTTTAAATTGCTGTTAATGTGTGTACGTAAGCTAATAGTTGTTTTCGTGCATAGGTGCAGACACAGAAGATGAAGATCCTGGTGCCACTCAGCCTGACGAAGCAGTCGAGCTTGGTCGTGGATTACCGCCACCTGCTCTAGCTGCGAGGCTGCCTGTCGACGATGGGCAACAACCATCTACGTCCGGGATTCAGAGGCATACAAGTGCTTCAGCCACACCTGCCGCTGAGGTGTACCAAGAGCAGGAGCCTGCCGCAGAGTCTGGGCCAGGGCTATCCATGCCCCTACTGGACTAATCCAGCATGAAGAAGAAGGAGCCCGAGGACGGTCTCCTGTCAGGAGAGGCCGTGTAGGAGATCAAGGAACTACCAGCTGAATGTTGCTTTATAAGCCAGCTCGCACCGCCGTTCGGGTTCACTTGCCTGTCAGCCGTCATCGCGATCGGAGCTCTCGGTGTTTTCGTTTTCTTTGTTACACTTTTGTTAACATTTAAATAAAACCGTTAGGACTTATTTTTGTCTTTTTAAAAAAATACTCGTCCTTAAAATTCCCTAGAATAGTATTATAATATAAACACAAGACTATACAAAACTTTACTTTTACATGTGAACAATTATTTCAACAACTGCGATTTTTGCGAAAATTTTTGACTGACACACAACAGTTTGAAGTGATCCGAGTTTCCGAACCGATCATATCATCATCATCATTCTATCACATATATTATATCAGCCTATAAGTGCCCGCTGCTGAGCAAAGGCCTCTTTTCATACAGAGAAGGTTAGAGTATTAATCACCACGCTTACTCAATGCGGGTTGGCGATTTCAAACTTATAATTAGAAATTATAAGTCCAGGTTTCCTCACGATGTTTACCTTCACCGTATATCAGTGGTGTCTAAATAATTATAGGAAGTACATATAATTTGGAAAAAGTCACATTGGTAATTGCCAGGTTTCGAACCCACAACCTCATGCATGAGAAGCGGGCTGCTTAATATCAGGGCCACCACGACAACTACTTACTTCTTTCGAACCGATACGACCTTCAAATCTTCAAGAAACGTGTGTACTCCTTCTTCGAGGCCGACAACGTGCCTGTGACTCTTGGTGTTGCGAGAGACTATGGGCGGTGCTAATCACTTTTACATTTATAAAACGTTAGACTAACTGCAATACAAGTTTCAATATTGTTGAAAATCCAATTCCCCTAAATTAAGGTCTTGTAAGGCAAAGTTTGAAATGAGTGCGTTCTCAATAACCACACAGTTATTTTATTAATATAGTAGATACTAGTTGAACCTCGCGACTTCTAGCAAATAGGTCAAGAAAGTACATTCTCTGAAAAAAAGATTCATTCTGTATTCTGTATTTTATTCCTCCCCCTGATGAGGAGAGGCCTCTCCTCATACGTCGAGGAGTTAAAGTGTTATATCCTCATGATCTGGAGATAATGATGATGCATTACTAATCAGTCAATCTTAATTTGGCTTTAAATCTTTGTATTGTTTTTTCTTCCTTCATTCAAAGTCAAAAGTCAAAGTCAAAATCATTTATTTCAATTAGACCTATACAGGAACTTTTGAACGTCAAACAAAATTTTAAAGATATAAAGTGTCAGTCTGTCGGTCAGTCCTCTTACTGAAGCTATTCGCGTTTTTCTTTGTATATATGTATGTAATGCAAAAATAAAATGGAAATGATACAATAATCATACTAATGAGCATCATTGCACTCACTATATCTATCTTGCGAAGTAGTTCTGAAAATAATTCAACATAATAATAAAAATATATACAAGCTTTAAAAATAGATTAGAAAAAAAGTAAAAGTAAATAAGTGTAGAAAGGTATAACCGGTGAATTGAATAAGCTTTAAAAATGGTTGGCTTAAAAGGCTCATAATCACAGATCGACATCACAGTTTTGATGTGTACACGAGTATAATGTTACAAAATCAATAATGACGTTAACAACGTTTACATAGTTTCGGTTATTAAAATCGTAGTTCGACGATATAGTTGTGTTATTAGTTTTCATCACTGCGTTTTCATTAGTGGTGTTCAAACATTTAATGAGTAAACAATGTAGACTGCTTTCATTCGGGAATTTAATACTGCCAAATTAAAGAGTACTTTTGTGGTACCAAAAAGAAATGTGAGCTGAATAAATGTGTGGGAGAGCCATGCTTCGACAGGAATGGGCCGGCCCGACCGGAGTGATACCAAGACCTCATAGAATGCCTACCGGCTTGAAACGGCTACAGCATTTTGTTTCATCGTGTGAGTGAGATTACTGAAAGCCTAGTCCGTGTCCTCCCTCTATTTCCCCCCAATCCTTGAATCCCTGATACCCATAATGCTGGCAATGTATTTACAACTCCTCTGGTGTTGCAGGTGTCCATGGGCAGCACTGATTGCTAATTGCCAAACTTGGTCGATAACCAACATGTAATAGCAAGCGTATCACATAAATATTACTGTTTTTTTTTAATAAAGAATTATATGGAAATATGTCAGACAAAAGTTGCTTTATCTGTGTTGAAACTGTAAGATAATTTGGTTTTTATTAGAGATGCAACGAATAGTTGTTTGGCCAGATACCGGATACCGGATGTTCGGCCTGACCACCAGCCGAATGTTCGGTATCCGGCCGCCGAATATTCGGCCGGCGGCATTTTGAGTTTCGTAGGTGCGTGTCGCGCACCGGCACGCCGCCCGCGCCGTGCAGGTTTTGACTTGTTTCGTAGTGAACGTTCGCGCGGTCACAGTTCTTGGTAGAGACACTTTTATCGTGTCAGTCAGCACGAAACAATTTCGTTTGTACGCTCGCGTATTTTTAGATAATAAAATAAGTTTGTGGTGTTATCGTGTGATACTTAGTGGTTTTGTATTAATTAACATTTACCTACTGTGTCATTAGTGTGTTTATAAAAAATGGCAACAAGATCTCCGCTTTGGAATTATTTTGAGATAGACAAAGAAGAAGCTAAATACGCTATTTGTTTAATCTGCAAACTAAAAGTTTCACGTGGCGGAGAGGGAAAAAAAGCTGGAACCTCGTGCATGAAAAACCACTTGAAAGCCAAGCATCCTGATAAGTTTAGTGAAATTTATGGTGGTTCGTCCTCATGTGTTGTACCTGCTATTTCTACGAGCTCAACTGCAAGTACTTGTACCACGGCTTCTCAACCGTCCTTGCAAAAGCAATTGACTTTAGCTGAAACTGTTGAGCGAAAACAATATTGGGGGATAAATGATTCGAAATCACAGGAATTTCACTATTTGATTGGCGAAATGATCGCGTTGGATAACGAACCACTATCCATTGTTGACCGAGTTGGATTTAATAGGCTCATGCAAAAAGCGGTACCGAGGTACAAGTTGCCCAGTCGCACTTATATGACTGAAAAAATAATACCGGACATATACGATCGAATTATCAAGAAAATTATGGAAAAAATTTTAAACGCTGCAGCTGTTTCCATTACGTCAGATATATGGACTTGTGACCACAATAATGAAAGTTTTCTGAGCTTCACCGCCCATTGGATATCCCCAGATTTCAAACTGGAACATGGCGTTTTGGCAATGAAGCCCTTTTCAGGGTCTCACACCGGAGAGAACATAGCAAACGAGCTTAACATTATTGCTGCACGGTGGAATATTCCGTTCAATAAAATACATATTATTGTACACGATAGTGGGGCTAATATGGTAAAAGGAGTTCAAGTGGCTGAATACGATTCAGCTAGGTGTTTTATTCACTCTCTCCAGCGGGTCATTACTGAATCACTTAAAACTCAACCTGATTTAGTAGAGATGCTGAATGCCGCAAGACGCATCGTAACTCATTTTAATCATTCAGCATTAGCACAAGAGAAACTGAAGGCAATTCAAAAAGAGTTAAAGTTACCGGAACATCGGTTGGTACAAGATATCAGTACACGTTGGAACTCGACGTACTATTTACAAGAGCGGCTGCTAGAACAGAGACGAGCTGTTTCTCTGTATATTGCCGACCACAATAAACTCGGCAACTTGACTCCTCAGCAATGGAATTTAATGGAGCAATGCATCATTCTCCTCAAACCGTTCGAGGAAATAACGAAGATCACGAGCTCAGGTCTGTCGTGCATTTCAGAAGTTATACCACATGTAGCAGTTTTGATGAGGTACATTCAAAAGGAAGAAACTTCACGCAAAGTCCCTAACTTATTGCAATTTCTAACGTCCCTAAAAACTCAATTGCAACAACGCTTCGAACATCTTGATGAAAATTTAAAGTATTTCCTGGCTACGTTATTGGATCCCAGGTTCAAGACTAATTTTTTTGGGGTAATACAAGCAGAAAAGGCTCGCCAAAGCCTCTTATTGGAGGGTCTAAAACTGAGTTGCGGTGAAGAGGATGCATCCAGCAGTGGAGGCGATTCACCTCCATTGAAGAAAAGAGCAGGCAGTTCCATGAGTGTTCATGATTCATTTTGGGACTGTTTTAATGAAGTTGTCAAAGATAACAATCAAACTGAAGACTCTGATAATACTGCTATAGCCAATGAGCTTGACTTTTACTTAAAAATGGTTCCTCTTGATCGAAAAAGTGACCCTTACGCATGGTGGGCAGCAAACGCCAAACAATTCCCGATTTTGGTTAAATTTGCCCAAATATATCTCTCTTCCCCATGTAGCAGTGTGTACAGCGAGAGACTGTTTTCAGAGGCTGGGCTTGTATATGAAAACAAGAGGAATCGTTTGCTTCCTAAAAATGCTGAAAATCTTGTTTTTATACATCATAATTTACCTTTGGTGGATTTCCAATATTAAATTAATTAATATTATTATTACTTACTAGTTACAAATAAGTACATTTTTTAACTATCAGTATTATCACCAAGTTACTTTAAATAATTGGTTTATTATAAAAAGTTAAAGCTGTTTAAAATAATAGAAAGCTTCAATTACAACTGTGTCTTTATTTAGATTCTATTTATAAAATCTATCAAGTTTACTATCCGGTATCCGGCCTGATAGTACATTACCATCCGGTATCCGGCCGGATAGTAAAAAAGGGCCGGATAAGCCGGATACCGGATAGAAACCGAATATTCGGTGCATCTCTAGTTTTTATGGTCTAATACTAAATATATATTTTCATTAAAATTTACGCATATATCAAAAGTGCAAAGGATAACCGATATGTTATGCAGTAGTCAACAGTCTAGCCACGGCGCTCACAGTGTTTAATAGAAAATTATTTATCGCTAGCTGACCCGGCAAACTCCGTGCCGCCACAAAATTT